TGTATATATATATATATATATATATACATATATATTTATTATATATATATATATATATATAAAATGTAAAAGTAGTTTAACATACATAAATATAAATGTAAATATATTAACAAGCTAGTAAATATTATTCTTAAGATCGATTTTTGATGTTATAAAAAGACAGTTGTGAAGTGAAAAATAGAAAAGACAATAAATGTGAACGATTGAATACATATCAACTCCAATATGAAAATCACAAATTTTTAATGGTACTGTGATAGACAACATTAAACAACATAAAATTCAATATTGAATTTTATTTTTATTTAATATAACAATAACTCAAAAGGAACTGTTTTTTTGACAAATGTCGAAATACTTGAAGTTATACATTGTATGTAACACTATATAGTATTACACAAAAATTAAAAATTGTTACGATGACATTTTAGTACACAACAGATGTGTGATATAAATAATTTTGAAAAATGCATGAAACTTTATAATACGAACCAAATACAATATTATTAATTTACAGGATTTTACCATTTATTTTTTATATAAAAGCAGAATAGCAAATTAATTTTTTATTACAAATTAATAAATGTAATTTTCATAAATAAAAATATAACTACTAAACAATACACTTTTACATTTCATGTCTTGAGTTTCACAGAATTGTAATCTGATACTTAGAAAAAAAATATGGTATGATTACATATTTTTAAAACTTAACGTTGGAAAAGTTATGAATATAAAATACATTTAAATCAAAATTCATAAGAATTGGAATTAAGATTTTGACTTTGCCACTTTATCCACATCTTCCACAACATCCATGAATTTTCGCCATTGTTGCATGGTTAAACATATTCCTATAAAATTAAGACAAAAATATTTTATTGATAAATCTCTATATTTTTTCTAATTAATTATAGAATCATCAATCAAAAATTGTTATCTGTGCAATACCTTTCTTTCCAGGTTTCAGATCACCATCCTTATCATAATACATTTCTCGGATATCAACATAATATTTGCCTTTGAAGTTTCTCACATTCACTTGACGATTGTTGCCCAAATCCCAGATAGTTTCTTCATCCTCTGTTTTTGCTTTCTTTGTCGGTTTCTTCTCATCTTTTGTTGGCTTATCTTCATCTCTGGTTCTCTTTTGCTTTTTTTACTTGACTTTACTTCCTCCAAAATAAAAAAATAAATGTAAAATAACATTACAGAAATTAATTATATACAACTAATAATATAATTTAAACTTAAAATAATACTTCTTCGCTGCTACTGTCCGTATCAGATACATATTCTTTTGACTTCGGCATTTCAGCTCTAAAACTGTAATGAAGAATCACAAAACTTAAAAAAAAAATTGTTGAGATTAATGAATCAACTATTAATATTTTACATAGACTTGAATAATGATTCTCATTTGTGATAGGCATTTACACGGCGAATATTGTGTATAAATAAATAAATTTATTATCTTAAAAATATACTTTGTGTATTCTACATTCATTTTAAAATATTACACTATATTACATTATATCTTATAGTTGTTACATACGCATGCAGAAACGTAACCTCTTTTCAATTCATTCGATTTATCGTGTTTTCACAAGACGAATCAATATCTTTTGCAAATATCTATCAATTATAAAGGAGTATCACAAACAAATACCTTATAATCGTTCTTGTTATATTATGGTACTGTTACAAAATTATGAATGTATAATTATTTTAGAAAATATGTACCAGCTTGATTCTTCTGGCAAATAGAGCAGTATTTCCAGATTGAGATCGCAGGACATCTGGCGCATGCGTATCTGGTTGGAATTTTGAACGATCTTCCAATCATTACGTATCGTTAAGTTGAAGATGAATCTCGTGCAAAATTACAAATGTTAACAAGATTTTTTATGGTAATTTCCATCAATAAAGATTAATTTTAATTTATTAATTTATTTTTTCGTCTTATTTTAATTTTTAAAAATTAAAAAATAAAAAGAATAAGTTAAATCAAATTAAAATTAAAGACATTGTTACAAATGAATATTAAATTAAACGGATCTTCTGTAAACGATTTATAATAGATGAGTTCATTAATGTCACGAATGATTTGGATATTCTTCATTTTAATTTTAATCAAAATATAATTTATTTACAATCTTACTGATTGTAATTTCATACTGACAGAAATAAAAATATAAACATTTAAAAAATGACAAAATGTTTAACATGAGACGGACATTTTTCAGTGATAGTTGGATCTTAGTGCTAAATCGCTTTATGAACTTATGTGTATAATTTCGAAAGACTTTGTTTTTGCTATCAACTACATCAATTTTTAAGAGATCTTCAATACAATCAAAATCAGAATTATATAGTCCTCTTAATAACTCGATTGATTTTATTGCAACTCTACTTATATTTCCTTCATTGAAAATTACATATACAAAAACTTATGTACATAAATGCAAGAAAAGATTAAAAATGTTTTACTTCTAAAATCAGGTCTTAAAAATATTAAATATTAAAACATAAAAAATCTATTTTCTGCAATCTTCAATAATCCTGAAAGTTTAACTTTTATTACTGCTTTCAATTAATAACTTATAATTGTCAAAAATTATATCATATTTGTAACTTCCATACGAACTGCTGTACATTTCATTTCTTGTTTGTATATCTTATTAGCTTTGCAAATAATTTTCTTGATGCACATATTTTTTTCGAGGAGAGTTGGAATATTATTTTATATAAAATGATCATGTATTCCTACGATATACGCTGCTATGACATTAACACAACAAAATTTTATGTGTACATATATTTATTCACTTTCTTCTTTAGAACGCTCTCTATCCGAGCGTCTGGATTTCTTCTTACGTCGACTCGGGCTTCGTGATCTTGACTTGTGTCTACGGGATCGTGACCTTGATCGATGCCGATGTCTAAAAAAATATTGATATATTGTTTCATATATAACATCACGAGCTTTTGATACAGAATTTTGCGTAAAAGAAAAAAATAAATTACCGATCTTTATGCCGATACTGAGATCTGGATCTATCACGTTCTCGATCCTCATCTCGCGTCATAGAATCTCTGTCTCTATCACGATCTCTCATCATGGAATCTTTTTCTCTATCACGATCGCGATCTCTATCTTTGTCTCTGTCTCTACCCATAGAATCCAATTCTCGATCCCGATCTCTATCCCTGTCCCGATCTCGATCTCTGCCGTCCCTCTGATCGCGCGATTGCATTAAAGGAGGAATGGATGTTGGTGGAACCATCGTAGGTATGGTCTTAGGTCCCATGTCTTTGTCGTCTTCCCCTTCAGTCATTGGGATTGCCAGATTTGTCGGCTGCCATGTCTTTAAATAAAAAAAAAATAAAAAAAGAATTAATATTCAAACGTTGTTACATTTTATTAATTTTTAGTATATCTTCTAGCATAGAATATATTCTAACTCTTACAGGACATTTTTCAAGTAATTCATAATATATATATTCATCATCATATATATTCATAATAATGTTGAATTCTTACTGGATCATTGCCCCATTGGTTGTCCTGTGTAGGTTCATAACTCTGATAATACGGATCGGCTTCCGGCATGTAGAATGATGTCGGTTCTCCAGCGTACCCCGGCGGAGGCATATCAAATGGCGGCGGTGGCATTCCTGCTCCAGGAGGTGGTACACTCATGTCAGGGAAACCTGGTTTCCTAGAATATTCTCTCCTGTCTGCAGTCATAACTTGTATAACATTTCCCTTTGGTGGAGATTTATCTAGATTTCTTCTAGAAGCTAAACCAGAACTTCCAATAACATCTATAGTTCCAGCCATTTTTCTCCCTGGCGGTGGGCCTGCCCTCTTAGGACCCATAATACCAGAATATTTACTATTGTCATTGGTTATCGCCACTTGGGGCATTCTCATGCCACCTGGATTGCCACCACCGCCACCCGCATTTAAAATCAATCCTACTCCAGATTCGCTTCGCATCCGCTTTTGACGTTCGCAATATGCTCTCCAGGTATCCTCATTGAAGCCATAGTTGAAATAATCTGTGATATCCGCGCCAGGTTGTCTCCATGGTTTATCTTCCAACTGATCTAAATTAAACTCGTGGGCCGGTATTCCATTGATAACGCCAATAGTTTCAAATTCATCTATACTGAACTTTCCTGGTTGTTTGCTCAACTTATCTGGTATACCAGATGTATTGGTTAATAGACCACCTCTTTTGATATTCAAACTACCATAAGCTGGTGTCGATTTGATATCGCCAATTACAACATGTACATCATCATCAGAATCAGATTCACTGGCTGCTTCGCCATCTTCCTGACTAGAAGCTTCTCTCGTTCCATTTTTATTTACATCCATATTCTCTTCCTGTACATTATTCAGTGAAGAAGATTCTTCATCGCCACCACCAAGAGAGTCGATAACCTCCTGCATCTATAAAAAGAAATATTCATGCATGTATGTTCTAAAAACATTATCGATATATATAAAAAAGCTAATGGTTGAAAAAAAGAAAAAAGTATAATTTACATGAACTGTAGTTTATCAATATATCTATTTGTTTTTTTATTAAACATTTATTATTTATTATAATTTATTTTGTTCTTTTTAACTAAAAATCAAGCAGCTGTGATTCAAAGTATTTAATTTATGCTTGTTAAAAATGATAAACAACTCTTAACGTGTCACGTTTCTCGTTTATTAATCATATTTGAACATTAGATCCATTCTTTTTAATAGAACTTTTTGCACAGTTTATCTTCCCTCCTTTTTTCTCTAACATGTATCTACTATGCAATTGTTTATTACACAAATTTATGTATAGGTTATATTACTCCAATAAAGCAGACGTGCATATGTAATAAAAAAAACGTATATGCGATATAAGATTATAAGTACACTAAATCTTAAAAGGTAAAATCGGTAATTCAAAATATTTTTGTACAATTTTGCGGGAAATTAATTTATTATAAATGATTGAAAAAGGTTAGATCACGCGCGTACCTCAGATGGTGTTTCGCCAGTTCCTTCGACTTTTTGATCCTCCCGAGTTTGCGAATTCTCCTGAATTTCGGTAAGCATCGAATCATTTTGATGAATTTCTGATTGAATATTCGCCGGTGTATACTCTTTGCTGTCAGCCGAATCCCCATACAGCCACTGATCCTCGCTCTCGTCCGCCATTTTTCCTGTATTTTTTCCGTTTACGTTTGACAAGAGAGCCCTTTTCGAAAATGGATTCTTGCACATGAGATGCACATAAACGATGAGACTGGAATCGATTGGCGCAGTCACAAGATTGTTTTTTGAAATCGCATTATGTCATTTTTTCTATATTTGAAAAAGAACTCAATTATATGGAAAAATACAAATTTAAAAACATTTGTATTTTTAAGTCTGTTTTCTTAACTTAATTTTTCTGCACGGTTCTTTCTGCTCTTCTCTCTTTCTACTTTTTCTCTCTGTGTTGAAAGGAAACGATGCAAGAAGTTTATCTAAAAAAAAATAGACTTTTTTGATTAATTACTATTAACTACTAATTAACTACTATTGCACAATGTAAATTGCAAAATTAATTACTATTGCACGATGTAAATTTTAATAAAGTAAAATATGAACATCTCTTATTTTAATAACATATTATTTTGTTTTCTGTACTTTGTAAATTACAAAAACAAATTATTATATTTATTGTTTATATGATAATATTACTTCGGTTAGAAGATAGGAAATTTTTGAAAACTTAGATTTAGAAACTTCTTGATTATTTTATAATCAATCGACACGTCCAAAAAATTTATCATATGACAAAGCTTAATGTTTCAATTTTGCAGAATTAGGATCTAGAATAAAAGGATTAAGGAATAAAAATAAAAATTTAACATAAAGAATTTGAAATAAACCCATACAGCACAGACCTCTAAGGTATCCTAAAGATGTTCAGAAGACATTCTACAAATAAAAGGATATCCTAAGGACATTTCTAAGACATCCCTCGGATAAAGTATGCTGTATGAGAAGAATGAAATTTCGACATTTATTATTTTCATCCATTATAGTCTTTACTTCATTCGAATGACGAGCCGAATGACGAATGGTTCTTTAATTTTTTTAATCTCAGATGGCGCATGTGTAGATCTAATCGGCATACTTGTTTATGTTGAGATTTAAGTTGCACTGTATGTAAGTACACTGTATTTCACATGACTGAAATTAGAGCAATGACGATGATATTGCGCAGAATGTTTAGCAAAAAATCATTCGAACCATTTGCTGGTATTCGTAGAAGAGGGAAATTATTACAAAAGATTGATCAGTTTGATGCAGAAACCTTTGATGCTGAGGATGTAAGCGAACTCGAAGCGGATTTTATGAATGTCGGTGAAAGCCACAAGATGCACGAGAAGTAAGTTCCGTATACACCCGTATCTGCATTTATGTATTACATTCAACAATCTGATATGATATTTATATAATATAAATATATATGGTATTTTATTATAGTAATTATTATATATTTATCTAACCTATTTGAAATTTATGTATAGCATTTATATATTTAACTCAGTAAAAATTTAAAAAATTTAAAAAAATAGTTTGTATATATAACGAAATATATCCAATTTATTATAAAATATGTTATAAAACATTGATATTTTTCAGAGAAATATGGAAAAAGAAAGAACAAATTAAACAACAGATTGTCGTTCAAAAGTATTTTAAAGAGAAAGAACCACGTTTTATCACATATGCAGAAAAAGAATTGATTCATAAGTTATATAAATCTAATCCTGATGAATGGACAGTAGAAAGGCTTAGCGAGAGTTTTCCAGCTTTACCAGAAACAATAAAAAAAATTTTACATGCCGAATGGTCACCAAAATCAATAGAGAAGATTATGAAATACGATAATGTGGCGGTTGAAAATTGGAAGAAATTCAAGGCGGGTAAATTACCATTAGATTCCAGACTCAGTGAACATTTGACAAAATTTAAGGATAGAAAAATTACTTTGACAGACAGAGAGTCATTAGCAAAACAGTTTGTTCCTAAACTCGAATTTAAGAAGCCAAAAAGTACATTGTTTTCTAGTATTATACAGACATATTTAGATGAAAAACAAAATGATACAAAGCTTTTATCGCAAGAAGATAATTCAAACAAAGTGACAGATAAATCTGATCAATCTGATAAAAATCAGAATTTATTGATTGCAAATATTATTGCTGAAAATTCCATTAAAAAATCAAAGAAATATGTATTAAATAAAGAAAAATCTGTGTTACAAGATACAGATTCAAAGAAATTAGATATGGCATCATTTAATAAAAAAAACGATAGCGAAAAGCTACTTACATTCAATGAATTTATAAAAGAGAAACTAGAAGAAGTGAATCAGGAATCTCCAGAAGAAGGTATCACTCTGTTAAATATATATAAGGAACAGATGGACAATCAAGAAATGCAAGTTGTGGCAGCATCTGACAATGGAGTAATTAATGCCGAAAAGGATGATCAATTGATATTTGTGAAAAAACATAAAGATGTTTCTGTAAGTCCTAATGACAAGAATATAAACAGGAATATTATTGCATCAGATGACAATTTGTTAGATACAAGCATCAAAGTATGGAATAAAAAAGTGGATACAGAATTAAATTATGCTAAACCAATAAAAATCGCAAAACATCTTTACAAGCCTGGCATGACATATCGCATCAGCGATTGTTATTATGATGATGATGGAGAGTTTTTATATCGAGTTCCAGGTGTATATAGTTAGTCTCTAAATTCCCGTTATTGTATATAGTAAATTGATATGTAATATACATATAATTGTTATAAAATAAAAGAAAAGACTGTGACTTCTCTAATTTATTCTTACATTAGATTTATTGTATCAAATAAATGATATGAATAAGACAATACGAAGAACTAAATAAAAAAGTATAAAAATTATGAAAGGATAAATCGCGTCCGTTTCATTCTATCAAAACCGGATTTTAATGTTTATTCTTTTCAGCTATATCTTACAATATTTTTTTCTTTATACAAAATATATATATATATAAAAATTATATATATATATATAATATATATAATATAAAGGAAAATATATATATATTGTATAAATATGTATATATTATATAAAAAAACATGTATACGGACGCGACTTATTTTTCACATACGCATGTATCTTTATGCATAATTTTTATACTGTATTTTTATACTACTTTTTTATTTAATTTTCCTTATTGCTTTTACATCATTTATTTGTTATTTTTGTTTCATTTTTATTAAGTTTATTTCCTGATCTATATTGATACATTAATCATCCCTTCATGGATGACTAAATGAAAGAAGGATGAATGCTTTATATTGGCATCACTGCAGAAATAAAGCGGTGAGACGTGAAATGTACAGTAGCGTAACATAACCTACAGTGCTGTGTAAAAGGAAATAAGAAGAAATTAAATAAATGTCATTATTGAATTAATATATGATGTTGTCTTTAAATTTGGTATCGACAGCTAGAACTATACTCCGTGTTGAACGACATATAAGTTAGTATTAAAGAAAAAAAAGTAAATCATCATGTTACAGAATTTGATATGTGATATATTAAACATGTTCTTTTTGGCTGAATTGGTTGTACTAGTTCACAGTTTATCTTTCTTTCTTATACTGGAAGAAGTAGTGAGATTCTGAACTAGTACAGCCAATTCAACTAAAAAGAACAGACTCATTATAAATTTCCTATGATATCATAAATCATATATGTTTTTCAATTAAGAATCATACTTCATTGATAATATATTTATATTTTTATTATTACAGATTGTAATATCGTAGTTAATGAATTTCATCAGTCTTGTGTACAACACCTGGACCAAAGGTGGAGAGAAAAGTATGATTCTTTTAATTATCTATATTTATTGAAATATATATAGAACTTTAATTTAGACTATCTTGATATTATTCAATAGAATATAATTATATCTAGTTATTTTATATAATTCACTATCATTAATTTATAATTCAACTTTTTTCAATAATTTGGAACTTTGAGGATTACTGCAGTTTTTATATTGTTTTTAACTGTAAAACAATCTGAAAATAATCCTATATTTGACTTTAATAACAAGTTATCAATTTTTGCGCTTTTTATTATTTTTATTGTAAAAATTTTATAGATAGACCGAATTCTGTTATTTAGTAATCATCTAAGCAATTACCTAAAATTTATATTTAAAGAATCAACTTTGTTTTTTTAAATTCTAAATTTGCTTACAAATAAATTTATATTTATATATTGCTGTATACGGTGTATACATTTCAAAAATATAAAATAATTTATTTAAATTAATTTATTTAAATTAACTTAGGATATGGAATTTATCAAAGTACATTTTTACATTGATACTAATATATTCTTATTTGCATTTATGATTGTATAATTACTATATGTCTAGGCGTGGGTTAACAGTTAATCCAAATGCTTTTGGTCTATTAACAAATTTACCAGATTATACATTTAAAGATGGAAGACCTACACCTCTTGGAATTAGACAAAAAGCTCGCTTAGACAAACAACGTAATTATGCGGTATGTAAAACAAATTATCATTGGAAATTATCATTTATTATTAAATGATGTTATTCTTCTTATTCTATTAATTTTTAGGCTAAAAATTATCAAGTTAGTAGGAGAGATAGATTATGCTGTTGAAAGACATGCAAGATTACGAAAAAAAAGAGAAACAAAAAAGACAACAAATCTTAGATAATAAATTGAAACCCAAGGAAATTTATTGCTTCAAAAACAGGAAAATAAGATAGAAAAGTAGTTACTGTTATGAAAAAATAATATACTTGAAATAAACATTATTTCATAATATTATTGACCTTTGTTGTTTCTCTCATTATTCTCTTACATCCATACAATTAATAATTATATAAAGATTAATATCTGAATTACAGTGTAATTAAAATGCAATTTTAATCTATTTAAGTCGCTATCATCAACGAATAATATAAAAATATATAATATGAAAAGCTTAGTGACGTGCGCGTAGCGTAGCTTTCATATTACATATTATGTTCTAGTATATAAAAAGTATATATTAAAAAAGTTATTATATTAAAAGTATATATTATGTTCTAGTATATAAAAAAATATATTGTATTTCTACATACCTCTTGGTAAAACATGATAGTTTACAACAAACATGATAAATAATTTGTTCTTAATTTCATATTATAATGACATTTACTAAATCAGCAACTACATACTAATTTACGTCCTAACTGCGTCATTATTGATCTCGTCTGGCAAGTAACACAGATACGTAACCCGCCGACGTCTTTAGTAACTGAAAAATTTAATTCTTTTACAATATAAACAAAATCTTTTAAATTTAAATTGAAAGTATTGGAGATACAAGATTGATAAAAATTATAATGCGACAAAAAATTATTTTATGATTCGAGATATTAGCTGTTATTGCAAATGAAATGGTTGCTTTTATTTTCTATTTAAAACATTTATATTACAAAACTTAATAAACATTTCGATGTAATAGACTGGAAATATATTCAAACAATAGATAGTAATGATACATAATCTTGGATAATAATGATACATAGACAGATTTTTAGATGTCTTAAGAATCTATTTCTCTAGTTCTTTTTGGATTCGTATATATAAACACAAGATAAATGCTTATATTATCAATTATGATCACATTATTTTTAATAAATCAACGATCAAATATAATGCCGCTTCAACAATATCGGAAAACTTAAAACTTATTTTTTTAATCAAAATAATCTCCATCCATTTCAATGCAATCATATAAGTTTTCCCAATTTCTATCACCATATAAATTTTTCAATATCTTTCTGATAAAAAAAATTTGGAAAACGAGAGGCACTGAGAAGCAAATTTTCCAGCTTTGTATCATTAGATTGAAATTTTTGAAACCTAGTAGACTGTACACACGCAGTGTATCTCCAACAAAAGCAGAATTTATATCATTCATTGCCTCAACACCGCTTTAATCGAGTATAAATAAATTATTATTATTCGAATCATTTTATTTTAAATTTTGAATTAAAACTGTTTAAAATTATTTATGTACATATACATTATAAATGGTAGGCCTATACTTTTTATACCTATCATTTACTTTTACTTTTACTTTTACTTTTATACCTATACTTTTATGCCTATCATTTATAATGTATATGTACATAAATTGTACGTATATATGCAGTGTCACTTGCATGATAAAAAATCCACTATAAGAAGAGTTTACATTCTTATATGTACAACTATAAATTATTTTATTTGCAATAATCTAATATAAATTAAAATAAGTATACGCACAAATACATACACACACTTTTTAACGCACATACATATACAAAAGATAAAGATAAGATTGTATATTTCACTTATTTCATACAACGCACATTGCAAAATGTGGCCATTGTCATCGGAAATGTTTTTCCCGCAGTGATATTGAGTGGTTTTTTTGCATGAAGCATGATTAACATCAAGTTTCTTGCTGCTTCCGGCTCCAGAGTGTACCATACATATTCATACGTGGCGCGATGGATACCTTCAGACTGAAAAAGAGAAATATTCTATGTATGTAAAATCTATGAAAAAATAATTAATTCAACTAGAAGGAAAAAATTATTTACGTAATAATAGAAAATTATATTTAATGAGATTCAGATGTATTGACTAATAGAAAAATATATTTCATATACATAATTTTTAAAGAAAGATATTAAATAAGATTATTAATGATAATATATGATTTTTGTACAACATCATAAACATAATGATTAAATTTGTATTTTGCGAAGTCGTTTAATGATTATTTAATAATTTTGCAGTCAAAGCACTCTAAGTCATGTAAAATGTAACACTTTACACATTCTAGAATGTTATTATTTAAGAAATTATTGTATTATTTTACTTACTTGAGTCACAAGAAATTCGCCGATTACACAATAAAGACACATGTGCAACAGAAGACATATATGTGCAGAGAAATACCATATCAGTTGTATATACGACAATTGTCCTGTTCCATTAATAACCTGAATTATCATAAATTAGATATATTACTTTTTAAAATAGATTGTTTTATTGTTTTGAAAGTTATATAAGATAATGGTAAATTGCGGGACATTTACGAAATATAAACGATGTATTTCGATATAAACATATTTTGCCAATTTTATTATTTATTCCTTAATAATTTTTAAGTAATAAAAAATAATATTAATAGTAGTAAAATCATATTATTATTTTTTACTTACATTAATTATAAGAAATCCATGCAGACAGAAAAATATACCAAAGAATAATAACAGACCGAGCAGCATTAAATCGAATATGTTATCGATGATTTTTATAGATCTGCAAATAAGATATAGTATAGTGAAATAACAAATAATACGTAACTTAATAATACGTACTTAAGTAACGAATCTTCAATAAAATATCATTCAATTTATTCAATAATATGATAAAAAAAAAGATCTAAAGATTATTTTTATCAAGTCTCAAATATTTGCATATGTGCGTGCGTTTTGATAAAAAAATGTTTTTTAACAAATTTCTTTGAAGAAAAGATTAAGTCAATTATATGAACAGAATTCGAAAATGTCTTTGTAAGAACCTGATTAATCGAATGTGGTCTACCACATTGGACTTTAAAACTGCTTTAAAATTCGGATTTTTTCCTAGATTCAATAATCTCAGCTGTAGATTTTCCATCTGACCGCATATGTGAAGAATTAGTAATCCAAGGAAGTTGTCGACTGCAGTGAAAGAGAGACTAGATGTGGTTAACGAGATTGTTTGTACCAGATACGTTAGCTCATATTTCGGACTGCTGGATACATCGTGCAGATAGTAGGCTTGAATTGCCAAGGGCTTTCCAGGGTCAGTAAAATTTGTTACGTGTCTGAACGTCAGTCCAGAAAGCATAGAACCAAAAGTGAGCAGTATTAGAAGAACTATCAGGGATAATCCGCATATAGTGAGCAAGCGAGTGATCTTAGCTTGCTTTAACATGACTCTTCGCTCTTCTTTCATTTTCATCTTTGTCCAGTCTTTTACAACCATTTTGATTAACGACGATAAAGCTGTGAAGAAGAATAATGTATCTGCACTCAATATACATATGTAAAATTATTTTTATTATTATTTTCCTAGTAATATTAATATTTTAATATTGTGTTCCCAGTCTAATTCATCAATTTAAGTGATGTATTTATTGAAAATAAGATTCAATATCAGAGAAATTTTTTTATAAAATAAAAGTAAATTTCAAAAGAAATAATTCTTTGAGTAATAATACCTTCTTTGTTGTACCACATAATAAAAATTTTCATTATCGTTATTAAACATGGCAAAGTGTATTGCAAATTATCTATCATTAGTATCATGTCACCCCATACTCTTATCAGTGATACTAAAGCCGGTATTGTCAGTACGAATGTCAGCGTAATGACGTTAAATAACAATCGAAATTTAGATAATAACTCTTCACGTTGATTTTTACTCTCTTGCGGCCATAAACCGATAATTTTCAACATTGAGCGGTTCAGACCGATTGCCCATTCTAAATCTGCGATTATTTATAAAATATAAATTAAAATTTTTTATTTGATTTTCATTACGTCACGTTATAAACTTCACAGATTTTTTTTAGATTTATAGGTTTTTTTAGATTTTATTAAAATATTATTATAAGAATATTTTGATTGTACAGACATCATTATACTATAAAATGTAACAGGGGAAAAAGCGTAAGAAAGTGAAGAAGTGGCTAAGATGATGACTTGCTATTTTTTTTCTAAGCTAAGTCAGTGCAATTTATTTAAGAGATTTTTAATGATAATCTACTTTAATCTGTCAGCGACAATAGGTAATAAAATAACAAATCTATTTTGTATAAATATGTAATTTTATAGTATTTTTTTTAAAAAGAAGTATAATTATAGTAAATATGTTTTGACTTTCTATATAAAATTATCGTATAATATATCTAAAAACATATAATAACGCTTTTTTTTAAATGAATGAGTAAATGTTGTCTTGGAATAAGATAACCTTGGAATAAGATAATGACTATTATACCAAAAATTATATAATCGTAAATAATTATTTTTGCTCTCTAATTTTAAGTTATATAATAAGTAATTAATATTATAAGTTAATATTATAAGTAATTGTTATCTTGGTTTTTCTAGATTTCATTTTCTTAAAGTTGTACTATTTTAAATAATATCTTTTTTTATTATAATTTATTTGTATTTTAGTGTGTTATTCAAATATTATAATAACAGGAGAATATAAAAAGAATATAAAAATATTAATTTTTGTTATTATATAAAAAAATTTTATTCAAAAATCTTAGCTTATTTACTAGTAAAACTCATACTCATATATAGCAAGATGACAAAATTGACACACCCTTAAAAAATTTAAATAGTTTAAAATTATACTTTATTAATTAACTTTTTAATTTTTGTAAATGATACGTAAGGTGTCAGAAAAAAAAATCGACAAATTTTAAAGTCTTTATCTTCATTCCTACCTTTATATTTTCACGTATCTTTAACAACTTATATATTAAAATATTTAAACAATTTTTGAATATTAAAAAATATTCTTTTATGATATTTGATAGTAAAGGTTTAATTTAAAAAAATTTTAAATATATAAAATTGATAAAAGTTTACATATGGATTTTATAGAAGTCATCACATACACTTAACTATCAATTAAGAAAATTAATTTGAGAAGGAAATATTAGAACATAGAGCACAATAGTTCTAAGTTTTGATGCTACAAAAATAGTGTATTAGATAGTATAATAAACTAGTAGTTTGGTACATCGATTAAAAAAAATAATGCAGGATGTATTGTCATCTGTAACATGATAGTTAGAAAAGAAGTATATCATTCTTCTTGCAACAAAATTAAAAATTTCCCATGTGTTCTATATGTTTATGTATCCTCCTTTGTGTTATTAATAAATATTTAAAACAATGATCTTTACGATAGAGCGAAATACTTTACATTGGGCTTATCTTTTGTTAAAATGATTAATTAATAACAAAAAAGAACACCATTATATTCAGCTGAACAATCCATGACATATGCCAAAGAATTACTGATCTTCCTTCGTAGATGGTATCACAATTTTCTATTTCAGCGCGCATGCTTTCAAACTTTTGCTTTCAACTTTTTGAAATACGAAGGTACATTACACTGTTATAAATATTGTAGCAACGAGAAAGAACATATGTCCTTATTGCTCACGCGATCGTTCGAAAGGGTTTAATGAATAAATTATAATGGCGGATATACGACAACGATCATTCGAAGTTCACTGAGTAGATTATACTCTCTTTTATCATTTTATATTTTTCTCCTTTTAGTACCAAACATTTCACTATTGAAAAGTCGCAGATACACAAAAAAATTTCTTACGGTTGTAATAATGAGAAATGAGTTCTGACTATTAAAAATTTTAAAAGACATGGAAAGCGCCGCAACTTGTCTATATTTTTTCTACTGCTACAAAGTTACGTTGATGAAAGAGAAAAGAATTGCCAGTTGTTGGACATTTATTGGTGCATTATTAATGAATCTGCGTCGTTTCAGTGTCGTTTCAGATTAAACAATCGGGATATAATCATATAACGAAAATGAAGAAATAAAAGTGATGATGAAAAGTGATGAATTTATCAATTACATTAATTCAAATTAGTGCTAAAAGAGATATGTATTTATATGTATTTATATAATAAAATAAATGTAATTAATAAATGTAATAAGTATAATTAAAATGCAATTTTAGAGAAACTTGATACATAAAAAAATATATTGTATTTCTATATATCTTTAGATAAAACATATCTTGATATCTTATAAACAATGTGTTCTTAATTTTATAACATAATGACATTTACTAAGTCAGCTTAATAAACACTACATACTAATTTACGTCCTAGTTGTTCCTAGTGTCATCATTGATCTCGTCTGGTAAGTAACACAGATACGTAACCCGCCGAAGTTTTTAATAACTGAAAAATGTAATTCTTTTACAATAAATTCTTGTACAATAAAAACATTAAAAATTTAAATTAAAAGATGTAGGAGATATAAGCTTGATAAAAATTATAATGCGACAAAGATCTCAAAAAATTATTTTATTCGAGGTATTAGTTGTTTGCAAATGAAATAGTTGCTTTTATTTTCTATTTAAAACATTTATATTCAAAACTTAATAAACATTTTAATGTAATAGGCCGAGAATGTATTCAAATAATAAGTAGTAACGATACGTAATCTTGGCAGGCAGGTTTTTAGGCGTCCTAAGAATCTGTTTTCCTATTTTTTGGATTTATATATAAATACAAGGTAAATGTTTATATTGTTAACTATGATCACATGCCATTTCTAATAAGTCAACAATCAAATATAATGCCGTCTCAAAAATAATAGAAAACTTTAAACATTTCTTTTTAAAATAATTTAAAAATTTTAAATTTTAAAAATTTAATTTCAAAATAATTTAATTTCTATCTACTTTAATGCAATAATACAAGTTTTTCCAATTTTTTTCAACATTTTTTCAAAATTTTTTAATATTTTTCTGATAAAAATTTAGAAAATGAGAACCTGTAAGGAAAATTTTTCTTTGTATTATAACACCAAAACTTTTGAACCTTACTAGACTGTACACACGCAGTATTCTCCATCGAAAGTAGAATTTATATCACGCATTGTCTCAACAGCTCTTTAACCGAGTTTGACTTCATATAAATAAATTGTTCGAATCTTTTTATTTTAAATTTTGAATTAAAACTGTTTAAAACTATTTATGTACCATACGTTACAAATGGTAAACATATACTCTTTAAATTGTACATATACATGCAGCGCCATTTGCATGACAAAAATTCCACTGTAAGGAGAGATACAATCTTAAAAATCATTTTATTTGCAATAATCTAATAAAATTAAAATAATATACACAAATACATACACACACTTTTTAATACGCAGGTACGCACGCATGCACGCACGCACGCACGCAAGTACGTACAAAAGATTTTATTTATTTCATATAACGCACATTGCAAAATGTGGCCATTGTCATCGGAAATGTTTTTCCCGCAGTGATATTGAGTGGTTTTTTTGCATGAAGCATGATTAACATCAAATTTCTTGCTGCTCCTGGCTCCAGAGTGTACCATACATATTCATACGTGGCGCGATGGATACCTTCAGACTGAAAAAGAGAAATATTCTATGTATGTAAAATCTATGAAAAAATAATTAATTCAACTAGAGGAAAAAAGTTATTTACGTAATAATAGAAAATTATATTTAATGAGATTCAGATGTATTGACTAATAGAAAAATATATTTCATATACATAATTTTTAAAAGAAAGATATTAAATAAGATTATTAATGATAATATATGATTTTTGTACAACATCATAAACATAATGATTAAATTTGTATTTTGCGAAGTCGTTTAATGATTATTTAATAATTTTGCAGTCAAAGCACTCTAAGTCATGTAAAATGTAACACTTTACACATTCCAGAATGTTATTATTTAAGAAATTATTGTATTATTTTACTTACTTGAGTCACAAGAAATTCGCCGATTACACAATAAAGACACATGTGCAACAGAAGACATATATGTGCAGAGAAATACCATATCAGTTGTATATACGACAATTGTCCTGTTCCATTAATAACCTGAATTATCATAAATTAAATATATTATATTTTAAAATAGATTGCTTTATTGTTTTGAAAGTTATATAAAATAATAGTAAATAGCGAGACATTAAGAAATATAAGCGATTTTGATGAAATATATCTTGCCAATTTTATTATTCATTACTTAACAATTGTTAAATAATAAAAAATAATACCAGTAATATTAATATTATAATATTAATAGCAGTAGAATCATATTATTATTTTTACTTACATTAATTATAAGAAATCCATGCAGACAGAAAAATATACCAAAGAATAATAACAGACCGAGCAGCATTAAATCGAATACGTTATCGATGATTTTTATAGCTCTGTAAACAAGATAGAGTATAGTAAAATAATGAATAATATGAATAATACGTAAACTATAAGTATTAAGGAATCTTTAATAGAATAATAAAAAAAAATCTAAAGATTATTTTTATCAAATCTCAAATATTTGCATGTGCGCGCCCGCGTTTGTGTTTTGATAAAAGTGTTTTTTAATAAATTTTTTTAAAGAAAAGATTACAAGATCCGATTATATGAACAAAATTCGCAAACTTATACTATTATATGAACAAAATTCGCAAACTTATTTATAAGAACCTGATTAATCGAATGTGGTCTTTTACATTGGACTTTAAAGCTGCTTTAAAATTCGCACTTTTTCCTAGATTCAATAATCTCAGATGTAGATTTTCCATCTGACCGCATATGTGAAGGACCAATAAGCCAAGGAAGTTGTCAACTGCAGTGAAAGTGAGACCGCACATGGTCAGTGAGATTAGTTGCACTAGATATGTTAGTTCATATTTCGGACTACTAGATACATCGTGCAAATAGTAGGCTTGAATTGCTAAAGGCTTTCCAGGATCAGTAAAATTTGTTACATATCTAAACGTCAGTCCAGAAAGCATAGAACCCAGAGTGACTAGTATTGTAAGAAGTATCAGGAATAATCCGCATATAGTGAGTAAGCGAGTGATTCTGGCTTGTTTTATCATGACACCTCGCTCTTCTTTCATTTTCATCTTTGTCCAATCTTTCACGATCATTTTGATCAGTGGCGCTAAAGCTACGAAAGAAAATAATGTATCTGCACTAAATATACATATGTAAAATTATTTTCTTATAATATTATTTTAATATCGTGTGTCCTCAGCTTAATTGATATCACTTTATGTAATGTATCTATTGGAAATAAAATTTGATATCGGTGAAAAGTTTCAATAAAATAAAAATAAATTTTGTAATTTAAGCTAAAGCAAATGATGTTTTGAGTAATAGTACCTTCTTTATTGTACCACATAATGAAGATTTTCAATGTCGTTATTAAACATGGCAAAGTGTATTGCAAATTATCTATCATTAGTATCATGTCGCCCCATATCCTTATCAGTGATACTAAAGCCGGTATTGTCAGTACGAAAATCAGCGTGATGAGATTGATAGACAACCGAAATTTAGACAATAACTCTTCACGTTGGTTTTTATTCTCTTGTGGCCACAAACCGATAATTTTCAACATTGAGCGGTTCAAACCGATTGCCCATTCTAAGTCTGCGATTATTTGTAAAACATAAATTAAAATTTTTATTTGAATATCACGTCATGTTATAAACTTCACAGATTTTTTAAATTTTACCTATTAAAATATTATGAAAATATTTTGATTGGACAAACATTAATTCTATAAACTTCACTATAAAATATAACGGAGGAACGAAAGTAAGATGAGGAGATAGCTGAGATAATGACTTGCTATTTTTTCAAAGCTAATAAGATAAGTGAATGTAATTTATAAGAGATTTTTAATGATAATCTATTATAATTTGTCAACGACAATAGGTAATATAATAATAACAAATATATTTTTTATACATATGTAACTTTGTAGTATTTTTTTATAAAGAATTATAATTATAGTAAATATATTTTTATTAGTATATTAAATTATTAATATAGTATTAATATAATATTATTAATTTTTAATTATTAGTATAGGACACTAATTAAAAAAAAATAGTGCAAGATGTATTGTCGTCTGTAACATGACAGTTAGAGAAAAAGATACATCGCTCTTTTTGCATCAAAATTAAAAATTCTCCATTGTGTCCTTTGTGTTAATGTATCCTCCTTTCTATTATTAGTAAATATTTAAAACAATGATCTTTACGATAGAGTAAAGTATTTTATATTGGGCTTATCTTTTGTTAAAATAATTAATTAATAACAAAAAAGAACACCATTATATTCAGCTGAACAATCCATGGCATATGCCAAAGGATTACTGATCTTCCTTCGTAAATGGTATCACAATTTTCTATTTCAGCGCGCATGCCTTCAAACTTTTGCTTTCAACTTTTTGAAATGCGAGGGTACATTATACTGTTATAAATATTGCAGCAACGAGAAAGAACATATGTCCTTATTGCTCACGCGATCGTTCGAAAGGGTTTAATGAATAAATTATAATAGCGAGTATACGACAATGATCATGTTTCACTGAGTGAATTATACACTTTTTATATCATTTCATATTTTTCTTCTTTTAGTGTCAAACATCTCGCTGTTGAAAAGTCGCAAACACACAAAAAAATTTCTTACGGTTATAATAATGAGAAACAAGTTCTGACTATTAAAAATTTTAAAAGACGTATGGAAAGCGTCGCAACTTGCCTACATTTTTTCTACTGCTATAAAGTTACATTGATGAAAGAGAAAAGAATCGCCAATTGTTGGATATTGATTAGTGCATCATTAATGAATCTATAACTGCAAAGTCGTTTCAGATCAGACACTTGACATATAACCATATAACGAAAATGAAGAAATAAAAGTGATAGTGATAACTTATTAATTATATTAATTCAAATTAAAGCTAAAAGAGATACATTTATATAATAAAATAAAATAAAATAAATGAGATAAAATTGTAAGATTAAAATGCTTAAAATAAAAATGTTTTACAAAATTACAATATGTATGCACGTGCATGCGCGTGTATGTGCATGTGTCGATATGCCACAATTTTTTTCTTTTTTATCAGCCACAACAATTAATAATTACTAACATTAGTAATTACTAATAAAAATTTTATTAATAATTATTAATAAAAGATTTGATATATCAAAAAACGACAAATTTCTTGTCGTCAATTTTTCTAGAAAAAAATTCTGTAATACATTTGTAGGTAATTTCAAATTATATACACTTTATATAAGTTATTATTTATTTTAGTAACGGATAAAAGAAGAAGATAATGAGAGAGAGAGAGAGAGAGAGAGAGAGAGAGAGAGAGAGAGAGAGAGAGAGAGAGAGAGAGAGAGAGAGAGAGAGAGAGAGAGAGAGAGAGAGAGAGAGAGAGAGAGAGTAGAG